GCCTGAATGAGTCTGTTTTAGGTTAGCGGTTAACACAGACAGAATACAGATTTTAGCTGGATCCTCATTTGTTTCTCTGTTTTTACTCTGACCTAAAATACAAAGAACACAAGCTGAAAGCAGTTTACTTAAATTACGACATGTTTCCTCCTCATCCTCACTCACGCCGCTTACCTCGTTGAACACGCCCATGATCTCCTTGTCGAAGCACCCCAGCAGCTGGTCACATGACTCCAAGTGTTTAGCGTAGAGCATGCATGACACACTGTCTCTTAGCGCACTAAACATGTACTGGTCACACCAATAAAGAGAAAAGCAGAAGGGGAGTTAAAAGTCCTGCAGCTTTTGCCCATGTAATAGAAAATTTCCTCTTTAGCCTCATTTCATCTTTGATGGAACTGATGATACATTTATTTTCTGATTATATCTGCTGTGTTTTTGTAATTTCTGCAAGATGTGTTTTTTTTTTTTTTCCATTAAAGAAGTTTTCAGGCAATGTTTAGATGTTTCTGCAGCTGTGAGAGCAGAAGAGACCTGAAGGCATCTCGGGTAAAACGCTTGACCTGGAAATGGTCTTAAAGCACTGACGTGTGAAACGCACGAGTAACTGACAAAGAACAATTAGAAGTTTCTCCTGAAATCCTCATCGTTTCTCTTTCCTTCCATAAAACACATCCCGCCCAAGAGGTGGGGGACGGTTCATGAGGTGGGGGTCAGGATCGTCTCTGTGGTCCATCTGGCAATAGAGGTCAGATCAGACTCTGTGTGTGTCTTTTCCTTGCTGTGACTATATACTGATGTGATGTGTGTCGTTCAGGGCTCTTCTCCCGACTGCGTTCAGTGAGACGGGTCTTCAAACAGATTTCCCTTCGAATAAAGAAACTTAAAGACAAAGATCAATCTTTCTCTTATTATCGAAACAGCTTCTCATTCTTTGATAAATGAAATTTCCATGACACCCAAGATGAACAAAAGCGTTTACAGCGTCTGCAGCTGTTATCGTTTCTTTGATTGTCAAGAGTCTTAGCTTTCTAATCATATGCGTGTGTAATAAGAACGGGGTTTTAAACAAAGGTTTTTTTTTTTTTGTTTGTTTTTTTTTTTTAAGAATCTGCCTACATGCATCCGTGCTGCATCCACGGCGTTGTCATACACATCGTCCAGGTAGATGGGAAACACAGCCCTGTGCCAGTACAGGAAACTGCAGTCACACTGGAGCCTGACCCTGAAAGCGAAGGCAACCGTCAGAGAACAGTATCCTCATTTGACACATTCTGTAAATATCAAATAAAATTTATGAAAATGAGCTTTATTGATTAAAATAAGACACTGTTTCCTCATTTTCTGGGGAATAAAAAGCAACAGTCCATTCATCGAGAACTCTCAAGATCTTTTTTTTTTCTTTTTTTTTTACTTTTATGGTCAATGTTTGTTGGAGAAAACTTTTCAGTTGATCTCTGGAATAAGGCTGCTGAGACATCCTCTCTTTATACAGCTCTCGTCCTGTCACACACGCAGGTGTGAGTGAAAACGGTTGCGAAACATCAACATGTCAACCAATTCTGAGAACTTTCTGACAACCAAGTTCTTATTCCAAGAAGTTAAAAGGTGTGATGTACCTCATAACGTCAGAGATGTATCTATAAGTTATTAACTGCATATCCTGCAAGGGTGGGTGTCAATATTTCCCCTATGATCAGCGAATGTTCTAGCTTATTCTCCATTCATAAGTGCTAAAAAGCTGACCTTTAACTGACACATGTAAGTCTAAGCAGTACCCTGCTTTAACACTGAGGCGGCTGGGCCTTTTCCGGTTGAATCAGCTTCATGTACAGACACTTCTGCTTGTTAGTTTCTGCTGACAATTTGCTTATGAGACCATTTGTTCTTTGCACACAGGGCTGCTGTTGAATAAGTATGCATCAGGCTTCAAATAAAAGCTTGATTTTGTTGTTTCTTTAATATGCCACCAAAAGTAATGCTATTTGGATATAAGTATATGCATGAGCTTCACTAAGCTTAAGAAACTATGTGCACCCTTAAGGGGTAAGCTTGCTATAACTTTGTGCAAAAGTTGATCCCGTGACTTTAGGAGTCTCAGGGTAGCTTCCTATGTTAAAACTAAGCAAAATGAATGAAATGTTTTGGCACCCTGGTCAACTTTGATGCTTATGAGGTCAGGAACATCAGGGAGTGGTCATAAATGATTTTAATTCAACATGTTCATCATGTTTTATTGATGAAAAATAAAAACTATTTTTTTCCCCTCCCCCAACAAGGTTTTAAAAGTTTCTGCTGCTGCTGGAACTCTCCTCCCCCCCTCGATCCCAGGAACAACGCAGAAAGAACAGCTCACCTTTCACAAAGCTCACTGATCAAATCCAGCTTCTTCAGCACCACCTGCAGCGGAAGCAGCTCCTCATCTTTAAAGGTTTTCTAGGTAAAATAGTCAAAAAAGAAAAAAAATAGCCATTAGAGAATCAGCATTAAATGTGTGTGTATGCGTGTGTGTGTGTGTGTGTGTGCTATGACTAAGATCTTTCAACGTACCAGCTGCGTGCCGACACACAGAGCCAGAGACACAACCAGCCGTCGCTCCTTTGTGCTCGGACCACTCAGCGCGTTTTCTGCAAGCACTAAAGACGAAAGGACGTCCAGCCGCTGCTCGCTGTACTTCTTATCAGAGATCACCCTTTTCTTTTGGGGGCAGGAGAGTAACATAATAAAAAAAAAAAAAAATTAAAGAGCTGAGAAAAAAAAAAGTTGTATAACACAGTAATAACTAAATATGAAGTTTTTGTGCTTACTTTTGCATTGCTGATGGCATTGAGGGCCTGAGACTGGAGCTGCAGAGTGATGAGTGAAACAGAATCGGCTACGACCATCGACCTCCTGTGAAACGTGTGCTCCACGGCCTGCGAGGAGAGTCACATGGGGAAAAAACTGCCTTGTTTCATCCAGGAGACTTGGTGTAGCAAGACCTCGCTTTATTTTGACAACTGGAAAACCTGCAGACACACCTTGAGCAACTCAACCAATCGACAGAGAGCTTTAACGGACGTCTTGGTCATGGGCCGCTGCATCGACATGTACATGTTCATGGTGGTCTTGATGATGGTGCTGATGCTGTAAGCGTACAGGATGCCCTGTGGGAAAGAGACAGCACTTACACCGTCAAGTGATTTCAAATAACAACGGAGGCTTTCCGTCATTCTCAGCTGCATTCAGACTAAAAGATAGAGTTGTGTTTGGGATTTTTCAATGAACTTGTTTTGTTGAATAATTTCACGCTCTGCAGTTTTGAAACTGGAATGGAGCACATGTTTGTTGTTACTATTATTTTATTGCCAAATTATCACCAAATCTGGTGTAATAGATTTGTTTAAAAGTTTGTTAGTGGAACAAAGCAGAGAGGCAAACCCACGATGGATTGACTTGGTATTTTAAAAGCCTTCCTCTGCACCATTATGAGGCCCCCTGTCCTCCTTCTTTAACTCTTCATTTAAGTTTTCATATGCCATTATTAATTACATAAAAACTTAACCGGGTATTGACCATCTGCTGTCTGTAATTTCTATACACCACCACTAAAATATGGATCCAGATTGACAGTGATGGACCGATAGTTCAACTAACAATCAAAACAACTTCACGAAACGTGAAAAATCGAGCTCAGCCGAGAGCCTACCTGCACAAATACGTTGCATCTGCTGTTGAGGTCCTCGGCCAGTTTGTCACTTTTGTTCTCCTTGGACAGAACGGACTCCATCTTCATCATCCACGAAGTTACAAAAACGTAGTAAGACTGGACATCCCTGAAAGACATGGCACCTACGTGTCGGATTATATTCGTTGCAAGAGCATCTTATCGTGAGTGAATGTTTCTTGTGCCAACTTTGTTAGCGTTTGAGCCCTTTGCTGCAGGTAGGTGTCTCTCTGTGCTTTGATCGTCTGGAGATTCTTCTTGTCCATCAGCTTGGCAGCGGCCGGGACCTTAACGATGAGGAAGGCGTCGGGAAACCAGATGATATTTGCAATCAGAGTGACAGCAGGGACCTACGAGAGACAAAGAGATGGAGAAATGGGTGAAGAAAATACTTTAAAAACGATGAGGAGGTGTTATTCAATCGAACTAAGAACACGTCTACCTTTTTGCAGATGTCAAGCAATGCTTTGTAGAGTTTTTTGTCGACACTTCTGAAAATATGAAAGTGCAGTACAAAGAGACCGCAGACTGCAGCGTACTTATCCCTCTGGTCAATTTTTAGAGGTGCCCCCAAAAAAAAAAAAAAAAAAAAAAAAAGAAGATAAATAAAACTTTGCTCAAAATGAAACCAGGTGAGAGGACAGGATGATTTATCCTGAGACACAAACCGATTTTGGACTCCACACTGGTGAAGATGGAGCGAATGTTGAAGGCAAACTCCTCGGCAAAGGAACTGTTTTTGGAGACAGCGACCCCCTCGGCCGGGTCATCAAATCTCTGCTCCACGCAGGCCTGTTGTCGAACACTGGGAGGTTAACGTTGCTCAAAGCAACTCTGGATCATTAAGGCAATAAATCTGCTGGTAGGAAGGGAATAAAAGCACCTGCACTATCATGCCATCCAGCAGCTGCCCCTCCAGCTTCAACAGGAGCTTCTCAAATGGCTTCAGCTTTTCTTCAGGAATGGAAAATTTTCCAGGGTTGTGATGAACAGACTTTAGTAACCTACACACATGCACAAGATACGTTAAATACGTTCAATCAAGGTAAGGTGATTGCAGTATTTAGTAACTGTGCAGAATGTCCAAAAGCTCTAACTTACTTAAATAAGATTTGCATTTTTGATAACCTTCACAAACAGCTTTCAGTCATTTGTAAAAGTGAACTAAGGGAGTCAGTTATGGAAAATGACAGTAGTTTGTAGTTTATTACACATATTTTGACCATGAAAGTTTGGTAAGTTCTTAGGGGTAAAATTAACTACATGATGGGTATTTTTCTCGATCCTATATAAAAGAACCACAGACAACGTATATGGATTTTATGGCCAAGCTTTTGCAAAAGGAGAAAAACTCCGTCAACTGCTCCTCTGAGCTGTTCACAGAGCGTTCTGGTCTGCTTCAGCGTGAGCCCCTGTTTTATTGTCAAAGAAAACAGTCAAGGGAGCAGTCAAGAAAAACAACAGAGGTCATAAAACTTCTAACCTAAACATCTAGCAACCCAGTTCCAGGTGTGATATCTGATCTATGGTCCGAGCCCGGTTCAAATCTCGGTCAAACTGTTAACAAGACAAAATACGACTACAGACAGGCAGTTAGGAGGTATTCTGGTTGATAAGAATTTAAGGTCTGAGAAACACAGAGTTAAGTGTTTCACATGAAGATGAACAGACGGTCCTGACCTCCAGGTCAGTTCATGCACACATAAGGAAGAGAACACTTTAAACAGACTGAATGTGAACTAAAGTAATAACAAAATGATAATACCGAAAAATCTCTAACACTACAACTTTCATTAATTGATGCTTTCAACACAAACCCTTTTGGGTCGCACAGCAGTGAAATTGTTAGAACTGTTGCTTTGCAGAAAGATGGCCAAACGTCTTTCTGCATCGTGGTTTCTCTAGGGACTGGTTCTCAACATGTCTGCTTAGAGCAGAGGTTCCCAA